GGCGGGCAGGAACTGCTGCCATCTGAGAGCCGTGGCCGAGTAGGGGACGGGCTGTTAGTAGGGAAGAGCTTTTACAAGCTCTGTGTATGAGCTATGTCTGTGTATGAGCTATGTCTGTGTATGAGCTATGTCTGTGTATGAGCTATGTCTGAACTTCTAGAAGTGGATGAATGAGAATAACCCTCTGTTTGCATGCATTCTTTCTCACGTGAAGAGACAGGAAACGTAAACATGTGTGCCCTGTGTACTGTCTGCATTGTAAAATTAAATTACATGGTCTGCATTTGGTATAAGGACTGGTGCTACTTGATGTTTGAGTTAACTCTGAGCCAGTGCTTGTGAGAACTTTGGTGTTTTTTCATATCCACTATGTGATTTTATTCATTACTGGGTCTCAGATGTAAGACTTGAACTCTCACTCTTGTAGATACGTTGATTCCACGTCACTGAGTATCTTGAAGATAAGCTCAGAGTTTAGATTTAATGTTCTGTGGAATAATCATGGAACAAATCTGTCTTCCTCATACGTATCCTTTCCTACTGAGGAGATGAAACCAGCCGTATTCAGGATATGCTTAGATGAAGCTTTCTACCCAGCTGTTGAGAGATGATCTCTAACTGAGACTAGACAAGCTATCAACTCAGAAGGGCTAATAATACCTGAGGTGGAGTGTGTCCTGTTTCTGCCCTCCCCAGATGAGAAATCTTCATGCTGAAGATTCCTGTGTTCTTGCTGTCAATGGTGAGACTGTAGGAGACCAATGTTTAACTGTTGTTTTGAGCCACTTCTGATGGCTGTCTAGAGATGTCATGCAAATTAGATTAACTCTGTAGATTTATGCCAGGTTAGAGGTACAGTCTGTAATACTTGTCTTCTAGTGCTCGCTCATGAAAAACTCAACATTGCATTCCACCTAAGTAGGTGCAATCTATTGTCAAGTGTGTAAAAGCGTCTGAGCTGTGCAGGCCTTGCCCTGAGTGTAGGCATTTGTCATTTTTTTTATTTTTTAGTTTTTTGCCTTTTTTTTTTTTTTTAAACCACTGCCACTAATAGTTCTGTTTCATGTCTGGTCCTCCATATGTGATATAAGACTCAAATGTGATGTAAGACTCAAATGTCTTGACTTTGCTAAATTATCTAAGATCTTTTTAAGAAACTATGCTTAATACCAGTCATTTAGCAGTTTAAACTGGCCATCTGTGCAGGGCTGTTGCAGAACTTGGTTACGTTGTGTTTCAGTGGGAGAATACTTCCTCATTTGGAAGTCAAGGAATGGAATAAAATATTTGCATAACATGTCAAGGACACAGAAAACAGCACCTTCTGAAAAGTCATTTATGAGTTGATATTTTTGCTCGCAATTTGGAAAGCATTCAACCAGGTTAAATGCTGCAGAGCAAACATTAATACCAAACGAGAGTTTCCTTCATAGCCTGAAGGACTGCGTACATTTTATTCTACAGGATCTCTAATTTCTGTCAAACCTCAAATAAGCTATCTGCAGTATTGCCTAGTACGTTATGTATGTATTCTTAGTTCCTTTTTAGTTCCCTGCGTTGTGCTGCACAAATTGTATGTATGAGAACTGAATTGAGGAACAGATCCAGCTGAGAGTTTCTTGGTGGCCTTGGTTTTCAGATCGTGCACGGTGCAGCCATTCAGCACTGAGGAGGGAGAAGGCACCAGCCAGTGCTTAGGTAGCCACTGTGGCCGAGATCCTGTCCTCCAGGGAGGAGCCAGGGCTGTTACAGCGTCTGACACCTTCGTTGTGGCAAAGCTACTTCTGCCTCTCCAGCACATGTGTTGAGATCCTGTCAGGTCTAAGACTGGCTATTACAAGACTGTAAATATGATGACCAGAAATGACAAGGTTATGTCCTCTGAAGAGCAGTATAGCTGAAGTAACCTTGCAGAACAATTGTCTTTGTTAGCAGTTCAGAAAAAAAATATCTTTGAGATTATTTGCTGCTGTTCCCATGTATTGTTACATTCATGCTAAAGCTGAATGTGGAGAGATTTTGTTAACACCTTTGAAATCTGAGAATATGGCCGTGATCTCATGATTTTAGTATAAAGACACAATGCTTTATAGTAGTTCATTCTTCTGTTAGTAGTTTGATACCAGAATATGCTGGTTTAATTGCCAGCTCAAATTCTAGTTTGTTGGAACATAATTGAAGAAGGCAAGACTTAATGCAGAGTAACTAAAACATTTTAAATAAGTGGCTTTTGCCAAACTTCAGATTTGATGAGAATAGCCTGCCATTGCTCATGCATGTTCTTCACAGGTGTTCAATGGGTTTTCTGGGATAGCAGCCGCAATGGCTTTTTGCACAGCATCTTGTCAGCTGAGCCTTTTAAACTAGTTTCAGAGATTGAGCACGTAGTCATTCATATGGCTTGAGTATATGCTTACCTCTGGTAACAGGAGATGTGTTCCCTTTCTTTTGGTGCTAAGCTCCTTATGGTGTCTGGGTTGAGCATACAGCATTTCCAAATAGACTTGTCATTAAGTAGGATGTTGTAATTGTTGCTAAATCTGGTTCTGAATAATAGTGATGTCTGGAACCCTCAGCAGTAACACTAGTGTAGTGAAGGTGAATAAAGTCAGGCACAGCTTGGTCTTATCAGTAGCAGAGGGTGAACCTTAATTATGCTGTGCACTTGTTTTCATCTTCTCAGGTGGTGAGACTTACTTTCAGTCTGCTGAGCTTCAGTAAGGTTCTGTGTTCATACAATTGTACCAACTATCTACTATCAAAGATATGTTGTCCCCACTGATGCTGGCTGTGCTGAAGAAGGAAACACAATAACAAGTGCTCTGAATCTGTGCTAGATGTAGTGGGGTATACTTTAATTGGTTTCCTTTTCCTTCATTGCATATTTGTAGCACTGAGATTTTTCTCATTGCAACAGGAAACTTTGATTACACGAGTGGTCTTCCGTGGTTGCATTTTCTGGAAGAAATATTGTGTCAGTTTCCTGTAGAAGGCTTAAATTGAAAATGTGTCCTTAATTGCCCCTTCTATAGGAAGAGAGATAAGCATGACGTTCTTTAAAGAAGAACTGCCAGATAAGCTGTTTATTTGTTTAAAGTAATGAATTTCTACATTTTTAACAAAATGACTAAATAGAAGGTTGTTTCTGTATTCTTCAGTGTCAAAATAAGTAGCTGCATCCCAGCTGACACTAGTGTGTTCCAGCAGCTGCACCAGTAACTCTAAGGGCAACTTCGCTGGAGTTGTGCTGATTCTCATGGGCAATTACAGAACCCAATATGTTACAAATGTATTGAATAATACTTGTGGAATGTGATCAGGTACTTGGCTGTCTCCTCTGAATCCACGAAGACCAGTATGCCAGAAGATGAGTAAAAAGGTCTCTGCAGAGTGCAAGAGGATCATAATATAAGCAACTCTCTTGTACTGTAATAAATATATGGTGCTATGAGTTGCAGTGCTCAAAACTGAGATTCCCCCCCCCCCCCCAGCAGGCTTGGAGGCCTAAGCTCGCACGCTTTTACTGCCTCTGGTGTTCGGGGGCCCTTTTCATTCTCCCAGTTTTCATTGATACGCAGCAGAATGAAGGCATAATAAACTTAATGCTACTGTGTGCACCTTGGTTTTTAAATCCAGATTGACTAAAACCTTAGGGTTTTGATCAAGGATTTATTTCTGTGGACTTCTGTATTGCTCATCCTGTTACTTGATAGAAGTCCAGCCATGCTGGTCAACGCTTTATCTCTGAGGAAATAACGCAGCCTTCTTGCAGTCAGAAGGCAGTGATTATGCAATTATATGATAGCAGTTAAAATACCTTCTGGGGAGCAGAAGACTTTGACCGGTGTTACACGCTTCAACTTTCTTCTGTTAAAGTTACTTTGCCACTCAAAGGAGCTTGCTTGACTGTTACTTCTGTCCACCAGTGAAGCTTTCCTGAAATAGTTTGGGACAAGTCTGGAGCGCTTTTTGGGAGCTTGCTGAATTGTAGCATTTGAGTACTTTGGGCTCCTGAACAGATGCTTCAGGTTGAAGGCTTCTTAAAGCTCATAGTACGACTGTATTGGGAACTTGGGTTACTTCACCCTGGGTTTAGCTTTCCAGTGAACTGCTTTACTTCTGACCGTTTTTCTCTTAGAAATTCTTTGAAAGGATAGCGTACTGCAGTAAGCAAAAGAAATTATTTCGTTAGCCCCAAACGCAGGCTTTTAGTCTCTTCCAAATTACTTGGTAGTTCAGCACATCTGATCAATCGATAAAACTTTCTGGGTGTTCACTTCACTGGGGTAGATAAATATGTTCTGGTTTTGTGTCACTGGAACACTTTTTGTGAGATACCAGTATTGCGTGGCATCTACTGTGGGTCTTCACCCATGCAAAACTTCAACAATTGCGTTTTGGTGTTGAGTTGGCAGGGGTCCTCAGGCCACATTTATTAAAAGGACTGATGCTAACCTGTAGAAGATAATCTCCATATAGGTATGGGTAATATGAGAGTAGTATCTTGTCTCTTGATTGCTGATGAGCTCTTGTTCTCCTGGTACAGAATGTCCCTCCAAAAAGAAATGTGGAGGAATGAGGTTATAAGTTCTAACTTGAATTCTTCCTGTTTGGTTAGTGCTTGCTAGCTTAAGTGGCTTTAATGTGGATGACATTTAAGTCACTTCAGCCACTCTGAAATTTGGATTATATTTCTTCTGGACTCTTGGAATAGACAAACCTAATACATTTTTCGAGCTCTCCATATCTTGTGAGGTCCAGTGTAATCACTCAAACCCTGCTTTCCTCCATTAAACTGCAACCAGCATGATCCAGCATGAGGATGTAGGCAGAAGTTGTTCATGTGTTAAAACAGTTTCTTGCATGTATGTTATGATTTGATGTTTCTCAAATTGTTAATAGTTTGATGCTTAAAACAGACTAGTTACCTTATGACTCTTGTTGGCACTGAAAGGGAGTTGAGAAAAAGCAAGTAACTGAACTGCTGTGGAAATATATTCTTTCCTAGGCCCAACTGTGGTTAAGGTGTTCCCTTGTGAGGAAAAGCTCACTCTTCTCCTGTGTTTTACCAGATTCTGCTGCTTTAAAAAGCAGGGCAAGTGAGAGTGTTGAACTTTGAGATGCTACCAAGGCATTAACAGGTGGTGGCTGTGGTAGTCTACCTAGGCAAACAAGTGGTTGACACCACCTGGTGTTTCTCTGTGCCAGTTGTTCCCCTCCAGTTTGCAATTCCTGTCAGTTTTGAGCCTTGCTTCTGCTGAACTCACAGCCTCTTAATTACAAAACTGCATTTGTCAGTCTCTAAGCCTAAAATGCTGCAACACCCCAGTTGATTGCAAAGGAGCACAGCTTGTAACTATTGTAAAACTGAGCAAAGAGGCGTGTGCCCTGGAAAAGACCCATGTGATGGAGGGCTACTGCAGGAAGCTAAAATGCTTCTGGTTTGCCTCTGCTCTAATGGGGACTAATGATCAACAGCAGGTTTGCAGCTTGTGTTGTAAAAATGAGAATTATCCCTGGAAACAGCTCACACATTCACAGTAATTTAAAAAAAATAAACTGAAGTTCTATACTTTCTTGCTTTGGGAATTGTAGTGCTTAAATATGCATAATTCTTAAAACACTTCATTTGCTGGAATATGCACATTTGCACCAGCTTGCAAAGACTCCAGAGTTCTGACTGAACAAAACTGTTTCTGCTTTTCAAAAACAAAAGTTGTTTCTAATGAGAAATAATAGTGATGATTTCATGTTTGTGTTCTGTACTAGAAACAGTAGTAGGGCTGAAATTTTCCCCACTTAACAGCAAACAGCTGTTGTATTGCTAAAATTTATTAGACCTCTTGTCAAACATTAACTTTCTATAGTGTTAAAATCATATTATGGACTTGCGTTCAATTTCTGTGGAAGACTGAACAAAATTGGAAGGTAGCATTAAATCAAGAATTAAGTCTCGCTGCCTAGGAACACTTGAATTCTGTTAGTGAGTTGGTTTACTCATGTGCTCTTGTTTACTATATTTATCATGTATAAATTACCATCAGCATCTTTCAGAATTAATTTGGATATATCTTCAAAGTTTTAAAAAATGCACTGTGTAGACAAACAGGGTTTTGAGCTGCTGTTAGGGAAGGGAGCATGTGTCTGAGCCACAACCATGTAAAATAATTTTTAAAGGCAAATGTGAATTTGGCCCATGTACATGGCCTCTGGCAGGACTGTATTTCCCATCAGACACATTCGTAAGAAAGTCTCTTGTGCCCTGAGAGACAAAATACTGAAGGAGTAAAGTTCCCACATGTGATTGGTTTTAAATGAAGATTTCAGTTAGTTTGGATGTTTACTACCTTCTGATGTGCTTCAGGATCTTCTCTGCAGGAAGACTGCAGGTGTGTCAAGGTTGGTGGATCAGCTGGAATTTAGGTGTGGAGGCCTTTCTGAGAAAGGCATACAACTGTACAGTACAACAAGAGTAGCTTCCAGTTCGTGTTAAACTGCTGTTCCAAGAGCAACACAGGACCCAGGTTTGAACAGCTAAGGAGGTGGGTGAGATAAATAAGGAGTAGAAGGGAAGTGCTGGTGATATTCAGATAAATCTCAAGAACACATGTGGCACGTCTTCAGTATTGACTGTGTGTATTAAGGACCTTCGCTTCAGGGACGGACCAAGTCCTTTATCTGATGTCCCTTTTTACTGAGCAGTAAGCACCTTAGTCTATTCTCCTACCTGTTTTCCCCAATGTCTTCATTTACTTTAAAGCTGGAGTGCAGATTCTTAAATCTGTTCTTCCAATCTTTGACAGGAATAGGCAACAACTTTTCATGAGAAAAGAATTGATATCTTTAGTGTTGGGTGGGGAAGGGGAAGAAGAGAGCAGCTGTCTGTTTCCCAGGTTGGGAGCCTTTCCTAATTATGCCAACTCTTTTTCTGAATATTGAACATAGGGGTGTGTTTTCATCTTGAAAAGTGGATGGAAGTCAGGTGACTCTTAGAGGCGAGGCACACACAACCTCGCACAGATCTTACTTGAAGATGGTGCAGGATTAGCAATTGCAGGAGCTGCACTGCTGCTGACCTTAAGTGTAAGGAAGACAATCAGTGCTAACTCTAGCACAAAACAGACTTATCCAAGCAGAGTTGTATCAAACAGCATTATTCAAAGCTGCATTCTCAACTTCTAATATGTATGAATATACACTAGTAAACAGGAGCACAAAGTGTAACAATTTAGCTTTAGTTTAGACTTAGTGAAAGTATTCTAACACTTTTTTTCTATCAAGGTTGCTGCCTTACTGACATTTGCCTGTCTGTCAACATGTGAAATCAGTTATAAGCATCACTAACACTGGTGTAATGAAGTAATTATTTTTTTTGCAGGAAGTATCCAGGATGGGAGGAAAACCAGATACTTTACTACCTCTAATGAAGCCTAATATAAAATACTAACTCACTAGGGCTAAAAGACTAGCATATTAAATAAATGCATTGTATAACTTCATGTTGCAAACTAACTCCTAATGTATTATGGTCTTAACCCCATGCCAATACCCTGTTTGACCACTACTGATGTGGAGGCTGCTGTTTGTAGCAGTTTCTAATCCCAGAATCAGGTTGAGGTGATGGATCATAAGCATAAAATTGTATACGAGTTCAGTGTTTCTTGCAAGATTGTGTGGGCATTTTTAGACTGGTCAACAGAAGTGCTTGACATACGATTTCTGAATGAAACTTAGGCTCTTAGTAACCACCCCTGAATACAATGTGATAAAAGCGTTATCAGTTCCTAAGTAAATATGCCTAGCCACACTTTTGCATTGTAAATATTTAAGCTGTAACACTTAATTTTTACTGTGACTTTTAATTAGAAATAGTTGTGTCTCTCAAGAGCTAGGATTTATTTTAGAACAGGAGCCCAAGTATGTTTGGTTAAGCACGTTTTTGTAATGTCCTGCACTCAAAATGTGTTTACCATAAACATGGTAGGCCTTGGGGGCTGCGTTAATTCCTTGGAATATACAGCTTGTGAAATCCTCTTACTAGGAAATCCATGGCATAAGAGTGGACAGTTACTGTGGCCTGATACACTGATTTAGTCTTCTGGCTCTTGCTCTGTGGTAACTTGGTTTGTTAGCTTGCAGCCTTAATGGTGTGGCAGTAAGTGGCAGCAGACTTAAGCTGCAAATCTACAGCAGCATGGGCCTTAAAGAAACTTAGTGTTAGTCTGACTTGGTCGTCCTGTACTGGTTGGTAGGGTATTGCTATCTCAAACTATTGGTAGCATGTGAAGGACAATGAAGTAAGTCTTAAACTCTCCCTTATGCAATTGCAGCTTGCTACTTAAACCAGGCTGAGTGAAAGAGGAACAAAAGCACGAGAGCTGTCTTTCCAAGGTCACTGAAATTAGTCATGTGCAATAGCATTTGCTTTGGATTCTTATCTTGTGAACTTGTGAACTCCAGTTTGAAACCAGTACTGGCTACCTGATTCTTTTTTCTTCCTGCCTAGTGTCAGATTTGTTTTGTAGCACTCTTTATAGGAGTTGGCTGACAATGCAACCTTTTTTTAAAGGTATTTTCAAGAGGAATAATTCGAGATTGATGGATGAAATTTTAAAACAGCAGCAAGAGCTCTTAGGACTAGACTGCTCCAAGTACACCGTGGAATTTGCAAATCAAGACAAAACTGATCAAGGTAAGATGAATTGTGATGTGGAATTGGTATGACTCTAGCTGTATAGGAATCGTAACCCTGCTTTTACTTAAACACATTCCTGTGTACAGTGACCTTTTCCTTCATTAAGCACTGATTATCAGAACACATGCAGCCTTCCTGGGCTAGTAGTAAACTTTCATTGTGCTTATTTGTTCTTAACTAATAGTGGAGTGTTGCTCTCTCCTTCCCATAGTGATCATTACTGGGTAGTCTGATCTTTCCTTTAGCCCAATTGTTGTGCTGTGTGACCCCTTTAATGCATCAGTGTAGCTCAGTTCCCCACTGTTTCAGTAAGATGTATCCTTTTGCTGAGAGAGTTGAAAAAACACTGGAGTTACTGTGAGAGAACTGATGTCAAGTTAACAGTGCGTGCACTTCCATCTTTCCAAACTTATACCTCAAAGTTGGGAGGAAGAAGGGAAAGAACAAAACTGCTGGTTGTCATGGCAATGTATAATGACACCAGGAAGCTAAAGGGTGTAAGCTTAAAAAAAACAACTTGTGATAGCTTTTGTATGTAGTAGAAGTGGAAAACAGGAATGTGTTTCAAGGTTAATGTTCCTTATTCAATACTACCTGCTGTAGGTATTCATTTAGGTAAGTTGACTAACACAAATGATAGAAGTCTGTTCAAAATGTAGTAAATCATAAGCATGTACTTACTAAAGTAAGCCTTTGCCTTAGAGGGATAGGCTGACACAGTTCTCCTACAACTCGTAACATTTAAGTAGGTCTCATAATAAAAACCCCTTACGTTTTAAGACAATCATATTGCATAGTTCAAAGACTTAAGAAAAAAACCTACACTTCACAAGCTGTAGTACATTTAGCTGCATTTAAGATACTGTTGGCTGAGTTGTGCTTTCCCTGCAAGAGCTAACAGGATGGAGAGATCCTTTGTGTCAGTTTTCCAATATAAAGTCCAAAGTTGTAGCATAAAATTGCCTTGTAAACACCTTAGGCTAAGGTGCTAGTATTTACATGGAAACACCCAAGTTTCATGTTATTTCTCTTCATTCTGGTGAAGGTTAAAATAATGAGCAGAAACCAGGGTAGACAGGCTGTTAATGTCTTGAACTCTAGCATACTTAGCTGCACTTATCTAAATAAGGGTATTTATGTCCAGACCAGTGAACTACTGGAAGACTGCTCGGGCTTGCTGACTGAAAGGGTACATTTAAGTCTCGGGAACCTTTTGTGCTGGAAACTATGAAAAGCAGAGGCATCTTCTGTTCGATGTAGAATTTTTCGTTCTTACTTAGAAGTCTCGACAGTCAGACCAGACGTTGCATACTTTGAACTGAGTAAGCTTACATCTGCCCAGTTTATAATAATAAACTGCAGTTTTTCACTACTTCTGAGATGTAAAAATATGTCTTACACTTCTGAATACTGTTAGAGAAATATTCTTTAACATAGGACATATGACAAATCAAACAATATCAAGGAACAATTATTTTCATTGTGGTGGCTTTGGATAGAGTAACTGAGACTTTTTTAGGTGTTCTTATGAGTCTTCTGACTGTATTCTGTGGTCCTTTGCAGTCAGGTTCTGCAGTTTTAAGAAAAGCTATTTTGAAGTATCTAGTTATAACTATCATAAGTTCTGTATCAGTCTTACACGTCCACACACTAGTATTTAACCCAATTACTTCAAGCTGTATTTAGTACACTATCTGTAGCCTTCAGCTTCCTCGGTAAGTTTACCTCTGTGGTACCTTATCAGAACTGACAATGATGCAAGTCATGTAGTGCAAGAAGACTGTAACCTTACAATAGTGTAGACAATGAGATCGTTGTGAAATGTCCTCTTAAGCCACAGGCATAATTACAGATTAATGGGTGAATTATGGTACTATTACCTGGTTCCTAGCTTCTCTGTAGGAATCTTAGATCAGTATTGTAATTCTTGCATCAATTTTGAAGCACTGCTGCAAGATCCTGTGATTGTATTCAGGGAGGGCCCCAGCTTAATCATTGTGTCATATGAATGTCCACAGTAGCTGTTAAAACACCTTCCTCTTTTAGGGTAGGAATTAGATCTTTTTTTCCTTTCCCTGAACTGCAAGATGTTCTGTATTGCTTACTACCTCCCAGGTTAATATCTAGGCACTTTCCTCTCACTGCTTTGCCTGACAGCATAAGAACCAATACAAATTCCCTGGAAGACTCTGTCAAGACTGACATTAATTAAATCACTTTTCACAAGACTTCTCAAAATAGTTGCCTTAAACTTGCTTTTTTGTAATACAGCAAATGCAGAAGATTCTTGCCCACTTCTGTAAGAGGTGGATGAGGTATATCTATGACTAGCTGTATAATATATGAAGTAATCTACAAGTTACTTTCAATCGCATGCTGTGAATAGCTAAAGCATATTCAAAACAACTATATTTCTGTTGCTTTTAAACTGTGTTTTGTACTTTCAGTTTTAAATTGCCAATCTACATTGAAGGTGCTGTCTCCGGAAGATGGAAAAGCAGACATAGTAAAAGCTGCTCAGAACTTTTGTCAATTGGTAGCACAGCAGCAAAGAAAATACACAGACCTGGATGTGAATGTGTTAGACAACTTATTAAGTAGTAAGTATGGCACGGTCTGTGGGGATGGGGGGAAAG